CATATCTCTCCTACTCTGGCCATGCTGCACTGGCTGCCCATCCGTTTCCGCATTGACTTCAAAGTGTTAATGCTTACATATAAAGCCCTAAACGGTTTAGGACCTCGATACTTGGCGGAACGCTTACTCCCAACTAGTTCTACCCGTGTCACCCGCGCAAGCCAGGAGGTGAGGCTGAGGAGCCTGACGCCGAGGGAGGCCTGGAAGGAAAGCACTAGAAACTGGGCCTTCTTGGCAGTGGCTCCTCACCTCTGGAATAACCTACTTCCAGAGATTTGCACTGCACCCTCGCTGGGTACTTTTAAGAACCAACTAAAAACGTGGATGTATAAGCAGGTCTTCCCTTCCAGTTAATTTCTGTCCTCTTTCCTTTTTTATTCTTTTTCTCTTTATTTGATTTATTTTGTATTTTTCCCATCTTGCAGAACCATTTAATTTAATTAATTAATTGTTTAATTTAATTAATTAATTGTTAATTTTTCTTGAACTTGTTATCCTTTATGCTGTAAGCTGCCTAGAGTGGTCGAAATGACTAGATAGGTGGGGTATAAATACAATAAATAAATAAAATAAATAAATAAATATCTGTTTTTACTGCATTTTGTAAACTCAAACGCTTGCAAATTCACCCTTTCTAGTAACAACAATGTAGTTTTCTAAATTAATGCTATGGGTCAAGAACAAGGAAGAAAGCAAGTACCTTAAATATCTTTGCTGTAGGAACTCTAGCATACTGACAGTTCATTCTGTGAGTAGGACATGAGTCAGCAGAAAACCAGTTCTCATGATAAAAAAATTAGTAACATAAAACATGAAGTTCAAAATATTATTCAGTACTACTGAACTGATATTAAACAAAAGTATTATTCTATGTTTATTAATCTACAAAGACATGCATTATTATCTGTCGTGGTAATCATTTTAGAAATCAAATGTCCTAGATTTTACAAACATTATTTTTTTAAATACAAGAATTCATTCTTTAATTTAAAAATATGGTTTTACATTTTTTTCATCAGTAATTACCTTTAACATCAAAGCAAAACCCTTTTCCATATATTTATTTTAAATAAAGTACAATGTAGAAAGGACATTCTTCAAGCTTTCCTATAAGAAACATCACACAAGAGAATGTAATAAAATGATTTTCTTTTCAATCAACAAACCTACCACACATTAGGAAGCAATTTATAAAACTAAATACTGGCTGACTCTGAAATGTCTATTGCATTAAAACAATATTACAGTCTATTCACACAATCTTTATTTGTTATTAACTTTTCAGCTCATGATTGTCCTTGATCATGACAAGGCACTGTGGGTAAGATCCAATGATTTCCATTTACAGTAATATTAGTTTACATGAAGCCAAAACAGAAAATATGGCCAATGACAGGACAATAAATTTTCATGGTTTTTCATTTGTTTTAAAGTTAACAGCAGCTACAGGTACCTCTCAAACCAAGCTCGGCTGACAGTAATGGGGAAACACATATTGTCCTAAACCATCCCCTCAACAGTTATTTGTCTCAAGTGGGAGTTCACATGGCTCTACAAACCAGCCATTAAGCACTTAAAATCCTCCACATGTCCTAGAAGAGATCTGGAAATTCACCTCATGTGACTATATCTCTTTGCTTTATAGCTTATTTTTAAATATCCTGTTATTTCCAATTTCAAATGGCAAGCTTTGAGGAATGTTTAAAATTGGCCCAGATCGTCATCTGTTTCACACACATTTTTCCATCTTTGCAGTTCTTCAGCACTATTGGTATTCCATAGTTTAGTAAAGGTCCTCAGTCTTTTTCTAAAAACAGAAACAAAACATTGTTAGAAATTAGAACTTCTTAAATTATTTATGGATTCATATTTAAATATAACATCTGAGCTGCTGATCGTGTACACACACACACACACACACACACACACACACACATTTAAATATCTCATTAAATATTTTAGACCATAATTAATCAGCAAGGTCAAATAGGTGACATGGAAAGAGAAAAATAAATGAAAAATATCAGGAAGTTCTATGTATGCCTCAATGAAACTCAGTTTTTATTGGAAAAAAGCTACATTCTTCAATGCTACATTTAAAGTGAGGCTTCCATATTTCACTGCTACATGTGCTTGAAACTATACTTCCAACCTGGGATGAGTGACTTTATTACTATATATTAGCATGCACAGATAATACTGGACACAATCCATGCAAGGGAATTTGCTAATTGTGACTAGCTTTAGTTAGATCACATCACAATTAACTTCTCCTAGATCAGTCCATTTTATAATATATAATCACAATTATAAAAGAAAAAGGCAGCACCTTAAAAACTCTTATTTCATTAATATAACTAATGAATGGTGTTTAGCTGCCTAAAGGATGGGTTGTAATGAAAGCAAATAATATTAACCTATTAGGCATCTCTCAAAATCCTTCAGATCTACTTTATGTCTCTACTTAAAGATATACTCTTAGCATCATGTGGAAGTTTTATTACTAAGAAAGATATGCATCAATCTGCTGTCAAACCTTTTCATATTCACAAATCTCTCCAGCTCTTTTGATTTGTGAGCTGCTTTTTTAAGAACTTCTTCAGGGACAGCTGCTAGTTTTGCAACATTTAGTCCATAACTCCTTGCAGCAACTTCCTTCTTAATTTGGTAAAGGAAAGTGATAAATTCAGGATTTTCTTCATCTTTAGAACCTAAAGAGAATGAAATACCCTTTCATATTAAGACTTCATCATTGTTCACTGTTTATATTTGATTGTCCCAGTAAGCCTGGAAATTACTTTCAACCAATCACTACACAAAGCCCTACAGCAACTCTAACTGCATACTTGAAAACATTAATGTGGTAGGAACCAGTAACATTCAAGCACTACCAGCAGAGAGTGACTAGGTCAGGTAATTGTGATCATACCCTTTTCCTGTTCAGAATCATCTTCATTCACCAAAAATGTCATGTGGTAGTTCCCAACTTGTCTTGGGTAGGCCCTTTCTAATTCACACAATGGAGGATAATGGGTGACAAACAGTGTTAATGAACCTACCTAGAGAAAGAGAAATATATTCAGATTTGGAAAATATGCATGGTGGAATCATTTTTAAAAGGGAAGTCACAGAAAATAACAATAGGTGATAACTAGTAAATTTTTGTAATCTCTCCTGAGAGACTAGAGGGTTTATTTTCAACATATAATGTTATATCTTGCCAAAGTTACTGCTACATATATTATTAGTAGTCTGATGACACATTATAAAGTATAACGGCTAGGATCCATAGCATAGGAACTTTTCAGTGTCCTGGAAGCACATTTCCACCTTCCAAAAAATCCCACAAACCTGTGTATTTAAGAAATGAGGATGGTTGGGATTAACACTTGTGGGGTTTTAATATGGAACACTTCTACCAAGGTTAGTTAATTTATTTCACTGTGTGATATTTTTTAAACATAAAAAATATGTTTATGTTTAAAAAAGACTTTGAGACTAAGGTGGCTAAGAATCTGAACAACTGGTCTCATTAAAATAATGAAGATGGTTGTATGTATTCACACCCATATCCAAACAAACTGATAGATAATGTACTTACATCTCTAATAAAATATTCTAGAGTAGCATAGGCAATTGCAATCCCATCATGTGTGCTGGTTCCTCTCCCTAGTTCATCTAAAATTACCAGTGAATGTGAAGTTGCTTTTCTAATGATCTCAGCTGTATCTGTTAGTTCTTCCATAAAGGTGCTGTGACCTTTAAATAAGTTATCCGTGGCACCCATTCTGTAATTGAAAGCAAGATTCATAAATGTTATTAGGCCAAAATCAAGTACGTAAAAAAATACTCCACAGAATAGTATTCTGCTCTCAGAAACAAGCACACA